TACAAAGGTGTATACAATAGGCAAGCAAAGCAGAATAGGCTTGTGACTTCCAAATAATTAAATATTTGAATCTCTATTAATGTGGCGTTCTTACTGGTGTTTTGCAGTCGGTTGTCTCTCGAAATTTTGCTACAGTGACTAACATATGGATAGGAAAGAGAGCTGAAATGCACATGTTTTTGATTAATGCTGGTTGTTTGGGTTTGCTCTGAAGCAGGTTTGAAGCATCATATTTAATTGGGTTTAGAAACCTTACTTGAGAAGCTTAGTGCTAGGTATGTCGTGGACAGGTGGCTGCCTGAGGTGGGTGATTGTTTAAATATTCTGGGTTGTGAGACATCTGCATGAGCAGATCACGGATTAGCTAGATCTGACTGAGAGTGTAGGTAGTCCTTTCAGCTCTTGCTCAGTCATTAGTTCATCACAAAATTACAGAAGACATTTGAAGACATTTGAAGAGGTGGAACTGCAGGTTTCTTACAGTGGCTTTTCACATACTGGAGTTAGAAGGCTTTCAGTCACCGTCCAGTGAGACTGATGCATGTAGCCTAGTCTACAGAGCTGTTTTGTTCTGCGTCACAGACTTTTGAAAACTGACTGAGATCAGCGTAACTGACAGCCTCACCTCAGGAGAGCTAGCTGGGAGACTGTCACAAGGACGTGGACACTGGAGAACCCGACTGACGCTGTTCAGCAGTTCTTGTCAGGAGCCATACGCAGCGCTCGTACGATTCTAATAGCGATGATGTGACTTCATTGAGTCTGGTGCTCTTTGCAAAGAGCAGCAGAGAGCAATTTTTTGGGGGGACAGCAACTCACTGATGTCAAGTTCAAAAACTTGAGTTTTTGTCTTAGCAGGGAACTTTGAGAACCACTGTGCCTTTTGCAATGATGTAACTCCCTTTCCCTTTTTAATCGCTCTTACCTTTTGCTGTTGTTTTTATTGTTTTCCAGACTGGAACAAACGTATTGAATACAAGCCTGGTTCTGGCAGCATACCTTTGTTTCCCAGCATTCATCTAGAAACGTGCGATGGACCAGTTTCCTCGATACATACCACCATTGAATTGCAGACCAATTACATTGGAAAGGGCTGTGATCGTGAGACATACTCAGAAAAGTCTCTGCAGAAACTATGTGGTATGACTTTCAGTTGCTAAAATCATTGTATTTTTCCAGATAAAGCACCAGTTCCCTGTGGTCTGTAAGCACACAATACGTGGATTTATCCCAACTAGATCATATTGGATTGTAGCTATGAAAACGAACGGAGTGGTGGTATTTGACTAGTGCTCTATTCTTCTTCTGCGTTTTTTTTTTTATTTTTTTCATTCCTTCTTTCTGCTTACTTTCATTTTTTCATTTTTTTCTTCCCTTATCCACTTTTTTTCTCTTTTTCTTCATGCCACCTTTTTCTCACTCTTTCTTCCCTCTGTTACTACTGATTATTCTGGCAGTATGTGAAGATTTTGGATGTAGATTGGCACCTTGCCCTGGATGCTGCATAAATACCACCAGCATATGAGGAAGACCTTAACATTTGATGAGAATTGACTCTCCATGCTCTGTTTCAGTCTTCCTGACTAGGTTTTCTGTTCTGCTGATAAATGCTGTGCCAGAGTTAAAACCAATAGTAAAGGAACGTTTGCCACAAGCATTTGAACAAAGATACTTGAGAAACACTTGAATTTCAAAAAAAGGATATTCCAGAGGGGAGAGGTTTCCAAACTGTTTTCTTCCCTTTTCCCACCTGCTGATAACTTGATTTAAAAGATACAAATTCATTTTGAGAGGGAGATTAAATACTTTAGGATGCTGCTGCGTTACTTTGACCGTGAGATGATGTATAATTGTTGCAAAAGGATGGCTACAGATGAAGCCAGGTATGTTTTGTCTTTGGAGATCTGCTTTCTCTCTTTCTCTTCCACCATCCTGTCGTCTTGAAGTCCTCCTGTGAAACACGTTATGGTTGCTCATCTTCTCTGCAGTGTGTCTCTTTCCCGGGCTCCTGTTTAAGCTGAAATGACAAATGTGCTCCTGGCTGTCCAATGGCAGTAGTTTTTCCGTTCAAATGTATGGCTTTTGGGTTGCTGGGCTTTGCTATTTGGCTCTCACTTGCTTGGATAACCGTACAACAAGGCTGCAGAGATGTTGAGGTCAATTCACTAACCTTCAAAAAAAAAAAAATTTGTAAGTAAATATTTGACCAAATTATGAAAGACAGAAAGCCATTTCCCAGGGAAAAATAGCTTACAGTTAAGATTCTGTAAGTGTATGCCAATTACCTGCAGAGACTGGGGAAAGTAAGGTAAAGGTAAATGAGTGTGATAGAGTTCTCATAAAATCTGAATATTTCCAACGCCCAAATTGCATAGTTAAGGCCACAGAAACCCTTAATTTTGCTCCTAGATCTTCATCCCGCTGACAGGCATCGTAGAAGACAGGTCTAGGCCTAGTGCAGTTGTGCTGGTAGCAAGCGGTATTTGGGCAGATGGTACCGTCTAACAGTATTGCTGAACAGTCAGTTTTTAATCAGCACCTCCGTGAAGAACAGAATATGAAGCCCTTGAGAGAACAGTGAAGAACGCATGTGTAAATGGAAGGGAAAAGTCTAATGCGTGAAAAAATATTTCTTTGTCCAGGGGTTCCGTATGTTCATAGAGCAGTACAGGCAGGGTAGAAGTTGGTAGTGGGACTTGATAACAAAGGTCATAAATGACCTTTGTACGTCAGAATTGCATCTGGGCTGGTTTGCGCTGTGGTATTTAGTATTTATTGCCATCCTTACTTTAGAGCGAGCTCTTAGGAAAACAGGTTTAATGACTTCTGGAGAACGGTTTTCTCCCAGAAATGGCCTTATTGTATTGTAATGGTTGGATGAATGAATTCTTTCAAAAGAAAGAAAACCCTGCGTTTTTTGTTATCAGTGAAGCATTATGTGATTGTGGAAAGCGTAGAATTGAGCGTAATCATTTGTGCCCCGTGAAATGCAGGATTCTCTCTCCGTGATTAAGGAACCAGTTCATAAATCACATGCTCGTTTCTTAATTTATCAGTTGGAAATCCGGAGAATTCAGATGCATTAAAACTCATTTTGTATAGGACTGATGGTTTAACTCTGCCTTTCAATAAGCCAGTGATCTGTACCCACTCTGACAGTCAAGGTAGGCAGTATAACTTAAACAGGCAGGGAACAAGTCTTCAGCTTAAATGATTAAATTATGCTTCTTGAATCATTTGAGAGTCGAGGGTTTATTAGTCTGGTTCCTCAAAGTGTTTTAGTGAGCGTTTTTTCACCTTATCATCCAACAATAATAAAAAAACACAAGAACGTAAAAGACACAATTTTGACTCCAAAAAACATACGCAGAATAAATCTCACTAAGAAAACATCAGTTAAGAAGCCTAGAACGTGGTGGAAGGGTGATCACGGGGCTATCGTCTTTCCCTCTAAACGTCAATAGCTTTTAAAATAATGGGATTGCTAATATTCACGTACGGCAAACAGTTTCCTGAAATACGCGTAGGCTGAGGGTCAGCTCCAAGGCTACGCACTGGCTGAGAAGGGGAGAGCCTGCCCTCTCTCCTGGGCCACGCGGCTTTGCAGCGGGCTCAAAGAAATACATGCACCTTGCTGATGCTGATGGAAAAGTAAGAGTTTTGGCTTGGGGTAATAGGAATCACCAACCACTTAGATACATAAAGTGCACCTCAGTGTGCCAAGGCCAACCAACACTGTGTGTTTGTATGCCGTGGCTCCCGAGAATAACGCGCCACTCTGAAAGCATATCAGAAGGCAATGGTGTCCGTCGTTAGGTTTGGGAAGGGCACTGAGCCAGGAGCGCGATCTGACTGTCTGGCAACACCTCCAGAGATGGCCTGTTCAGAATTTGGTACTGATTACCCAAATGCTCTTCCCCAAGCCTGACCTTAAGTTGCAAAGATAAGGGGAGGGGGGGTGGGGTTTCTTAAGCAGCTTGCTGAATCAGGGCTTAACGAAGCTGTCTGAGAGACTTCCATTTCAGAGTTGGCTCACAGATTCATTTTAATTGAAAAACAGATCCCGCTAAATTTTTTACCAGAGTGCCAGATAGAGTGAGTGAGAGATGAAGCGTCTTCCTTAAGCCCATTTAAAACATACTTCTTTTTATATACGCTGTGGTGCAAGCCATTTCTATGCATATGTCCTATGCAAGTAATTTTATTTTTAAGTGGCTTGAATTAAAAAAAAAAAAAAGTCTATTATAGATGGTGCCATCTGGATAAATTGAGTTTGAGGTTTTCCAGTTGATAATCCTGTGTGCTAAGCAATGCAGCCTGGAGTTAGAGTTTAAAAAGTAACTACAATTTGTCTTTGTGCTTAAATTCCAAATGTAGTTTTTAGGCTTGATATTACTATCACTTCAGAACAACCTCATCTTGAAATAACAAAGTTTAGGGAAACGTCTAAGGAATTCTCTTGCTGAATTAGGTGAATATTCTCGTATTGTTCCTATAGCATAGCACCTTAAAAAGACGCGTAGTTCCACACATTGTTAGCATAAAATGTCGCGCTTCTGCAGAGGGCTGGGGTCTTCTTTCTCTTCTTGGACACTGCAGGAGGCTGATATATGTTACTAGCTTGGGATTTTTTTGATCTGGTTTGAGTTTATTCACCATATTCTTACTTGTCAAAGCATCATCAGGAATATGCAAAATCTGTTTTTGCTCTTCAGTCTGGCAAGCGTATTTTTGGCTAAATGCTACCTTTCACTTGCTAAGCGAAGGCTGTAACTGTATTGCTGAGTACATGTTTTAAAAAAAAAATGCCTGACAGTTCTTAGGCTGTAGTAAAATGCGGATCTCCCTTAGCCATGGAGCTCGAAAGAATTGTACTGTTTTATCAGAGCTTGTCACCACGCTGTTTTTCATTTCTGTTTCTCCAAATTAATTCTGGCAAATGCATGCTGCATGGCTGGGAACCATTTTTTTAATGATTCCCTTTGTAGAGGAGGGCTAATCTGAGTTGTGAGTACCACTTAAGTCTTGAGTCTATCATTAAACAAAACCACCTGGAGTTTCAAGCATCATGTACCTGGACAAGCCAGCATTAAAGTGATATTACCTGGTTTTTAGGAAGGACACTATTTACGTACTGACATTTGTACCAGCGTTATTGTGAATGTTTGTGGCTGACTATTGGACGCTTGTCCTGCGTTCATGTCTGCTCTGTCGCGTTCTGCAAGACACCATGCCCGTACTCACTGTGTCTCCAGGCTGCTGGGGAGGGAAGATTCCCAGCTGGATGCTCAGAACCTGGTGTTAGTCTTGGCAGTTCTTTGTATACCTGACTGGAAGAAATGTGAGAACAGCAACGGATTTGAGAAAATAATGAGAACTTCCTAAGAAAGGAAATACCTTTAAAATTCTTTCTTCGGTTTTCTGTGCAACGCATTTCATCTACAGAACCCTTACTTGCTTATTATAGTCAGTACTATACAAAGGTATATGCAGTTGGGCAGTGAAGCTGGTAGGGCTATTTGCATAGTAAAAATTCCTAAACAGGAATGTGTGGAATCAGGCCCTTGGCCTATACTAAATTCGCGTGTACAGCTTTTTCACCAGTCTCTTCATCGTTTTCTTCATTATCTGTCGTTTGTAGGAGCATCTTCGGGTGCCATTGATCTGTTACCGTCTCCTAGTGCAACAACCAACTGGACAGCTGGCCTCCTCATGGACAACAATGACATGATTTTTAAGTTTGACGGAAAGCAAGGAGCCAAAATTCCGGACGGAATAGTTCCCAAGAATTTAACTGATCAGTTCACCATCACTATGTGGATGAAACATGGACCTAGCCCAGGATTAAGAGCCGAGAAAGAGACTATTCTCTGCAACTCTGATAAGACAGGTGAGTCCACCCTCTGTTTTAAAACTGTTGGGCAAAGGGCAGAACAAATTTGATAGAGTGTTACTGTTTTTCTTCAGTTAATGCAGTTGGACTGAAGGTTACAAAGCTGGGATGCTGCCTCTGAGTATTGCTGACTCATAGCTTATTGAGGGGACTTTTGTCTACCTAAGTTTCAAGCACTGATTTTCTTCTTGGATAGTCTCTGAAAACACATCTGCGGATTTTGAAAGAAGCGGCTGACAAATTAGAGTTAATTTTTTACGATTTAGATTGGGAAAATCAGTCTTAAGTCTTTCTTGAGATTTTTAGATTAAATATTAATTTAGATCGTGTTCATTCATTTGGACATAATGATTCCATAAATAAAATTCATGTGACTTAATTCAGGAAGATTCTTACCCTGTGTGGCTTCCCTGAGAGTCGACACTGAGAAAAGATTTGCGCGCGTGCGTGTGGGTGCGTGGGTGGGTGTGGGTGTGTCTTTTAGGTGTATATTGCTTGGGGACCCGTTCAGCTAAACAGAAGCGTTGATGGTAGGTTAGCGCACTGATCTTACTGTTCCCTCCCTTTAGAGATGAACCGACATCACTATGCCCTGTATGTGCATAACTGCCGGTTGGTGTTTCTGCTGCGGAAGGATTTTGACCAGGCTGACACCTTCCGCCCAGCAGAGTTCCACTGGAAACTCGATCAGGTACTCGTGCTTTTCTGTTACCTGTAACCCATCTGTACCTAATCTGTCTCTTCATCCCATTTAGAAGTTGCAGGGAACATCCCTACTGTAGACCAGCAATTTCAAAGAAATCTTAAATGCTAGTGTCATGGTTTTGTGACATCAAAAGTCAGTTGCAGTTATATTACAGCTTGTAACACTGGTGGCTCTAATTGGGAACCGCAGAAGGAGGGTTAAGTGAGTTAACTGAGTTGAGTCAATTAATACAGATTTTTAATTGAGACATTTTATGCAATAGGTAGAGGTTTACGTGCTTTGGCACTGGAGAAGCTAGAGACGTGACGTTGTGAATGTAGTTCCCTTAAAGTTTTCCCTACTTTATCAGTATTTCATTTTCAAATCTACTTTATCAGCACAGTGGAAGTGATGAAAAGCCTTTTCAATAAAGAGTATGCTGACAGAGAGAAAGGCTTTTGTAATATAGTCTAAGTCTAATCTGTAGACTTTCGCTTTCATCTGCTGCGCTATATGTAATTTCTTCTTACTATGAAGAATATATTGCAAGGAAATTATTATTACAGAGATAAGAGCTGCCTTTCATAGAGTTATTACTTCTAAACAGGATAAGGATCACTTGGATGAAAGAAGACGGATCTTGGCAAAGTAGTATTTTCTCAAAGCAAGTTTTTTGTGTCTTTGAGCCTGAATTGTGATATTGATGACATAGGTAGTATTATAGGAATGGTTACTTTCCTAATTCACCTTCAAAATGTATATGAAAAGATAATCTCCGTTCCGATTATCAAGTGCATGTGATGATAAGCCGTGTGATCATCATAGCGCGTGCTTTTTCACTTCCGTTAACCAGTTTGGAATCAGTTTCTGCTGTGGCTGAAATGAAATCTTGGTGTCTAAAAAGGGGTGAATCACGGTGCAAATTTCAAGTCTTGAATAACTGATGTCGCATCAGATAATGCAGTTCTGCGTGCTGCAGATAGACGTTACGTTTCAATGTACGATATTGCTAAACTTCTAAAACCAATGGTTATTCAAAGTTTATGATTATGAAAGCTGCATACAGTCGACTTCTCTTCCTTATGCTTACAGTGGGAGAGGGACAGTGTCCTCTGAATAAATGAAATCTATATGCGATTCTTGTATCTTAGCCATAACAAAACACTGGAAAATATGCTGTCAAGGACGATTTTCCATTGACGGGGGGATGCGTTTGCTTGTCTGACAGAGCTTTTTCGTCTCTGTTACAGTCTGTGATGACGTTTTTCGCGCTCCACTTTCTCCGTAGGATTTCCATACTTTTTAAAAATGGGCAGGAAAAATGGGATAAATTAGAAAGTACAAAAATACTGACACTTTTCCAATTATTTTTCTTTCTTACGTTTTAAAAAGGACTGTGTCCTGAACTAACGTTTTTTCATCTCAAGCCATGTTTTTATGTGTGATTAGCCTTGAAAGGGAACTTGACTAGCACTCATGTTATTGATGAGCAGCATACACTCTTCATATTAATATTTTGACGGTATGACTTGTTTCCAGAGAGTGCGCCTCACCTCAGACATCCACTTCTGGATGGCCTGTTCGTTTGGGAAATCTTCTCTGTGAAATATGAGGGTATCTTGTTTCAGAACAGTGTGCTAAATAAAAGTGCGTTTTGTGACTAGTTAAATACGGGTGCTATTCTGCCTCCGGTAAGGGATAAAGAACGCTCTGGGCTATTCTACGGATTTTTTCTGAGATCAGCAAGCCTAGGGCAGTTACACCGGTGGACAACTTCATCTCATATCTGGAGTTGAAGTTTCGAAAGACTCCCGCGTATCTGGTGCCAGGCACTTGGTCTTTGTGATGTAAATACCGAAGGACCTGAAGATTTCAACTAGGGATGACTGAATAAGTCCTTGGAGAGAGTTTGAGGTTAAACTGATCATGGCCTGAGTTATGTTTCTGGAGAGAAACGATTCTTTTTGAAGCAATCTCCGCAGGAGTATATACTGAAGGGAGTCCAGAGTAGTTCTTGACACGATACCTCTTTCATGTGTAACCTTTGGTTCCAAACTGTATATGTCGTTGTGTGAGTGAGAACAATCATTTGTGCACCCTAAAATACGCTCCCAAATTGTAGCACTGCAGAACAGCAGGGTTGGAGTTGGGCGCTGAAGGGAGAACCTTCCTGGCTCTACTATTGAACAGTACTAGATGACAGAAACTAGAGATAGAAGAAAAGACTTACTAGATCACGTAATTCATTTCTTTTCATTCAGCTACTGCCAGTTGATTTGCACAGCACATTTTCAGCTGCTCTTTCCAGCTGAGCAAGAATGTAAGATTAAAGTATAAATTAAGTTTGTTATGGGTTAGGCGACCAGACTTTTGTGATACTGTGATAATAATTGTAAGCTTTGTCATTGGTAAAGGGATTTGGTGAAGACTGCAACTTTGCCTCCTATTCAGCGCTCCATCTGGCCTGTATGATAGAGTAAGTTAAAAGCAATTGAAAGTAAAGCATAGGTGAAGTAGGGTAGAAAGGAACGTGCATAGTTTTGAAAACAAGCCAATCAAAGCTTTTCACTTCAAAGTAGTAGAAGTATTTGTGCCAATTTCTGACTGTCTACCTAGAACGGTCTCCCCCAGAGGGCACTGGATATTTTATGGTGTCCATGAGACAGCCACTTGGCATCCGACTGCAAACTCTTGATGAAAAGAAAATAGGGCTAGATTTTCAAAAGTAGTTTTAAGTGCGCTACACAGTTCTAAAAATGCTATAAAGAGATTTTTTTTTAATCTGGATTTTGGAATATCTCTAGAAATCTCATCTTCAGAGCTGTTCATTCTGTAGTGGTGCGTCTTCTGATACCTTTTGCTGGCACGAAGAAAAGCATGGGGATTAAGCTAGCTGTTGCAGTCTCTCGCCCCCTGAACTGCGCTGTAAGACAGACTGTTGGTAGGTTGCACTGTATATATATGACTCGGATGACTATTCAAGGGTTGGTACCGAGCAGAGCCATAGCACAGTAAAAAGTGGCAGAGCGCTTTATTGTGGAGCTCACTTTATGATTGTGACAACAATCCTTAACTTGTTTTTGTTGAGAGGAATCCGGTGACCTTGGAACAGGGTGAAGCATAAACTAGTGAAATCATTTATCACTCTTACTGCGGAGCAGTAAAATTTATTATGCCAGCTGCTTTGAGCTCTCCCTAGCCCACATGACTACTCATTCTTTCAAGGCACCGACCAAGAACGTGAGTGTATTGCCATTCCAAATCTAATTCCCTGGATCTCACTTCTGCGGTGTCTGTGGCACGCAGCTGAGCTGCAGGCTCTGTTCTTGGCCAAACATGAGGAGTCTCGTAACATTTTGTATAGCTACACCCAAACAGCGCCTCTGAAGCCGTGTGATACGATGTAGCCATCCTGACCGTAATGCAAAGTGAGTGCCCGAAACCCCCATGTAGCAGCGGCTGCCAAGTTAGCCTGGGGAAGACTGTGTCTTTAAGTCAGTTCATAGACCAAAAGATTGAATTTCAGTGCAACTGTGTTACATGAAACCTAACAGACTTGGCTGAGCTAATTTTTTGCTTATTGTGCTGAACGTGCATGACCTGAAAGTGTCATAAGCCTGAGCAGATGTCCCTTTTGTGTAGGACTGCTAAGATTCGAAATGAGTATGTCTGCAAAGGGTGCCAGAAGTCAGAAGTAGCAGACTTTAGACTGAAGTTGTCCTTGTTCCTTTTAAGAAAGAGAAAAAAATTAACATTGATCTTTTTTCTTTCCACTTTCATCCTTTTTGAAACTACCCATGTCTGCCACCTTAGTTGTGAAAGGATCCGTTAGTCATAATCTGAAAGACAGGGTGTGGCTATCTTTCGGGAAAATCAGTGTCAAGTCTCTTAGGCATGCTGGGTCTTTAAAACGGCGTGCTTTTCCCAAACATCTCCTACAGATCCCCAGTTAGAGGTGATTCCTTCCTTTTGCTAATTCTCATTTACTTGGACATGCAGATGTTTCCCTTATTTCAGTGATCGGAATCATGACTGCTAGAAATTTCTGAGTTTCCCATGCAGCGGTTTAAATTGAGCATCATGAAGTGTTTGTCAATGTTTTTGTTCCTTTTCTAATACCTAATTATACTTTTGATAACTCTGTCACCAAAGTCAACAAAAGATAACTAAATAGGCATCTAATCGCCTCAAAAGGATAGGAACATAGGTGCGCTTTTAATTGAATGATTTAGGCAGCCAAAGAGAAAACTGGGCTATCTAAGAATAAAACATGAAATATAAACAAACTATTTCTGTAGGTTTTTTTTTTTTTTTCTCCTTAGAATGCTGTGGTGATTGATTTTGGGGTTCTGCTCTGTTGCGATGCTCATGTACGTATGTCCTCATCTTCTGGACATATGCCCGAGGTTTTGAGAAAATGAGCAGTTTGTCCAGACTTCTCTTGCATTCAGGAAGCAATTGCAGGCTGCGGTGGCCTGACGGGGGCTCTCTGCCGCCCAGAGGTACGCTCGGAGATGCGCTGGTTGGTGAGCTTCCTAACCTACACCTCTGACCACGTTTCTCTTCGGCCGCTGGTGCTGTGGCCAGCCTTGGCCAAACTCCTTTATGCAAGTATGCCAGGACTGCACAAGAGATCAGTTTATAATGAGATTGTATGTAGCGGAAATGGATTCCTTTCATGTTGAAATCGATGGAGAAATGTAGCAAGTGAAGAATTTCACTCTAGAAATGTTAAAAAAAAAAAAAAAAGTCTTCTCACTTGTTTTCTTATCGTTGCAAAAAACGTTTCTGAAAACACTTCAGGGAGCTCTGTTTATGACTCTGTTGTAAAGGTTTGAACTAGTTCCTCTCCCTCTCACTGTCGTCTTCATGAAAAACACTTGTGATCTTCCACTTTCTGCTGTAAGCAGTGACAGTTCTTGTATGCTTCCCATTTGTGGTTGGTGTAGTTGAGAACTTCCTCCCTCAATCGGCATCCACGTTATCTGTTTTTTTCTGTAGCCTAC